AAATAGAGAAAAAAAGATAAATCTTTTTATTTTTTCGTACACTTTCCACGGTTGACGGGACTTATATATTCGTTGATATATAGGACACACTTTGACACGTATATCTGTAAGAGCGTACAATTCAAGCGCTTTACTCGCGTTTATTAGTTATTAATCCTGTTCGATTCACAGATTATAATTAATTTCCCTGAGAAATCGCGTGCGCGTTATTCGACAAGGGCACAACACTTGAAACCTGATGATTCGCGTCACCTGTAGACTTTCGATTCACGATCGATCGAGACGCGCGACCCTTGACTCGCAAACGGGAAAGGAAAAGAAGAAAAAAAAAAAAAAAAAAAAGAAAAAAAGAAAAAAAGAAAAAAGAAAAAATACGCATAGAAAATTACGAAAGGAACAAGAGATAAACTTTGCTTGACTAGCTTTTTGTTGGGGAAACGTTGGGTTGATCGATGGACGACGACTGACTTAACGTCTACTAGACTATAAATAATGTCTGTGTGATTTCCGCCTAATCTATTCGGGAACTGAACGCGCGTTATATCTCTGATTCTGATCTCTTTTTCTGTCCTTTAGCTAAAACAACTTTCTAATTCTGCATCTTACAGCGCCACGGTACCTCTGAGTGCCTACACTGGAAACGAAGCGTGTCTTTTCTTCCTTTAAATCTGCTTCTACTGCCTTTGTCTGCTCCTATTTAACATTCGACTTCTCGCATCATCGCCACCGAGCCAGCCACTCGCCCTTAACTCGATTCGCTTCATCGATTAAATCCATTTTGCTCCCCCGTTCATCCCCCGTTCATCCCCCCCTCACTTACTCATATCTCTATCTCGATAGACTCGATTATCCATTACCTCCTTGACGAGACTTTCAAGCCACCCTCCGTGATAACAGAAATATATATTTATATATATATATATATAATAAGAACGTGTGACCGCACGTTTCGCCGCTAGTACTAGCCTATAATAATAATTTTTTTTAATAACTTGTAAGTTGTAATTTGTTTTGCTCTTGAAAAATTTCACAGATGCATATTTAATTAATCCCCTTTATCAAGTCCAATATAGAGTTATTCCATCCCCGGAGGGGAAGCGTTGGATTTACCAACCGCTCGATCACGTTCATCGTCGTCCTCCTCGTTTCGTCTTCGAATTCATTCTTCGAATGAATTTCCATCTTCGTTATCCTTCCTTTCTCTCTTTTCTTTTTCTTTTTTTTTTCTCTCCTCATTTTTGAAAAAATACTTTAACCCTCTCGAAACGGAGGAAAGGCGGGTAGAGGAAGACGACGTTAGAACACTCGACAACATCGCGCGGGGCCAATTATTTTCAAGATGCATTCCCACCAACCATTCTTCATATTCATCCAACGCGTCGTCTTCGCTCGGTTGGTAAATCCAACTCCGCATCGAATTCTAGTTCATTAAATAAAAATTCTGTAAAAGAGTTCCCAGTCCTCCAGCAGCCTGACCCGCAAATTAGAATTATAATAATCAGGATAAAATGTCGCCGTACGCGCCCTCTCGCTCCTCCGTTCCGTCATCTGTCACCAGGATGATGGACGAGATATATATATATAGTTTATCCATTGTGCTATCCACGATGAATCCGACTTTCTCGGGCCCGAATCGGAAATGATTTGTCTGAAATCGAGGAAAAGTAAAGAAAAAAGAGATGTCGGCCGACACCTCGTGATCGTGCATAGGAAAACGTAGGAGAGACAGAGAGAACAATAGCGACGTAGACTTATAATATCAAAACGAAATAGAATGGATAGATTAACCCTTTCTTCTTTCCTTTTTTTTTCCTCTGAAGTGTCTCTCTCTCTTTAATGAACGTTCGCGTAATGGACGCGAGGCGGTCCGATTCCTCGTTGATCAGCGATATATCCAAGTTAAAAAGAAGCTTAAAAGGGTCGTTCGGGTCTCTCTGTCGGGGCCCTATTCTGGGGGAACGAGGCACGCGAGAAGAATTGAGAGAAAAAAAAAAAAAAAAAAAAAAGTAAACGAGAGAAAAAAATTGTGTCGTGGAGCGAAGCGAGGGAGCGTTTCGACGGTGCTTCCTGTATATATCTCACGTTTAACACGCCGCTGATTGGTCGGTTGCCTGTTTAGAGCCACGAGGTCGGGATGAAAACCCTCGTAATGCTGGACGAGCAAGGCGGTAAGCCATTTCAATCTAGACATACAAACATTAAACTTAAACGTAAAAAAAAAAAAAAAAAAAACGTTTCTTACAAATAAATAATTTAAAATAAATTAAAATAATTTATATCAATGGTCTCGACTGACACAAAAGCAACGATCGACGACCAATTTATTATATGTATTCTACTTATATATGTCCTCCATACGTTCTCCACCCGCCGATGTATATATAATATTTATATATAATTGTCATATGAATGCATATGTAGTTATATATAGATATTATATATGTGTGTGTGTGTATATATATATATATATATACACACGACACTAATTGCGTGTAATAATATCGTCCAGACACTATGCAAATCCCTTTAAATCGGAAATTTAACTTTCGATCGAAACGAATTGTTATTAGTAACCAGAGGAGAAAAAAAACAAAAAAAAAAAAAGAAACCACCAAAAAGACAACAGATTCGTTCTTTCAACATCTTATCACATATTCCTTCAATATTCAGATCGTTTACGTTCGAAAAATCATCAGTTACTTTTTCCCCCCTTGTTCTTGAGTTTTTCTATTTTTCTTTCTCTCTATCTCTCTCTATCTCTCTCTCTTTCTCTTTTTCTCTCTAATACAATTATTGCATCTTATTTAACCCTAACCTTAACCATATATATGTATATATATATATCTCCTTCTTTTGCATTCTCCTCCTTACAATCTCCCTCACCCTTCTCTCTCAATCATCGCTCTGCTCTCTTCCACTGCTACCTATTATCCTATATTTCTCTTCTTATCTCTTCCTCTGCCTTTATCTTTTCACTTTTTCTCTCTCTCTCTCTCTCTCTCTCTTTCTCTATTTCTCTGTATCTCGTTTATTATCTTTCTCTCTGCGTTCTCCTATCGTTCTCTCCGCCTGCTTCCTCCTATTCTTAACTCCGTTTCCTTCCGTGAACGTAATCTCACGAAGGCGAATGAACAAAAAAAAAAAAAAAAA